ACAGCTTCATCCTCTAGCCCTAGAAAACTGTACAATTATTGGGTTAGTTCATCGAGCCAAAAGCAAAGGCCTGATTATACCCAAAAATAGGCCTAGACCCTTGGCAGGCTGAACATTTCTGAAACTTCACTTAATAACAAAATAGAGTATAAACACAGGGTGTTCAGTAAATTAGTGACTGAAGAGGAGGATAAAGACTTCTCTCTGAGTCCTGCCCCGCCTCTTGGCTTCCTATCTCTGACGCTGCTCCCTGGGCGCGCCTCTCTATGGCTCTCTCAGGTCGTCAGCAGCCTGCTCAGCTGAGACCCTGTCCACGTCCACTTGATCTTAGCAAACAGTAAACCCACCTTATCTCACAAGGTGGGCCGGACCTCAGGTCAGCTGTGTCCTCGATTCTGTGTGTAACTCTTTCCCAATTTTTTATGAGCGCGGGAGATCAATAGGGAGAAGCAAAGCAGCCAAATAAAGCATTTGCAACTTGTTGGAGGCGGACTAGGAAAAACAGAGGCGCCACAGTGCAAAACGCCCCCACACAAATCGCTCATTGACGTCGTCACTGTCTTCAACCATATGAGCTCCTACTATGTGTAAGACACTGGTTAGGAGCTTGGTGAGTGATAGAGTTGAATAAAATACAATTACTCCCCTTGTGGAGCTGGCATTCTCTGGGATCACTCCAAAAGGGAGATGAAGTAAAGGCAGTTACGGACAAATTTCTGAGGAACTGGCTGTTGACTCTGCTTGACTGTCATGTTAACGCGGCCGAAGCGTGCCCAGGGATACCTGCCCTCACTTCTCGTGTTCCTTCTCAGGTACCTCACTCCTCAGGAACAGCCCTTGACAGACACGCTGTGTTACCTGGAGCGCGGAATCCTGCCGAGGAGATGATTGTCGCCAGGCTCCTGGCCTTCTCCCCAACCACGTTCTCACCAATGCACTCTGAGAAAACCTCTAAACAAAAAGAGTTTCCTGTATGTATTTCCCTACAGAACAATTTCTGTTTTCAGGGGAGTTGAAGTGAATTTTACTTTTTTCCCCTGCCAGAAAAGTAAAGAAAGATTACATTTAGATGTAGCATGAGTGATAGTGGGGAAGATAAATAATACCGCATCAACTCCCTCCTGGTTCCCTCATCCCTTTCTCCTCTCTAAAGGTTCAGAGGAACCAGAGATAAAACCCCAAATAGGGAACTTAAAAGGAAAATAAATTATAAATGAAAACGCTAATTAAAATCACTTTCCAAATCATCTTTCTTAGAAAAAGCAAATGTGGCAAAGCGAGAACAACTGGTTGATCTAGATAAAAGTGGAGGGTATTCATTGTGTTCTTTAGCTTTTTCTCAGGGTTTGAAATTTTGCAGAATAGCAAGTTGGGGAGGGGATCATCCGTTCCCCTGGAAGCCCTCTCTTCTGTCATAAAGTCTCTCTCACAAACTCTTATAATTCTTAAAACTGGCATTCTTTTAATCCATGAGAAATTGCTCTAGAACTGTTAAGTGTTGTATCTCTATTCTAATTAATGTTCCAACAGATCGCTGGATAGCTTTCACTGGGAAATGGTTCTTCAGCAAATGGAGCTGAGGATACCAGACATTGTTGGCGTACGCTTTTTTTCAATAAAGGTGCGGATTTTGTGAAAATATAGTAATGTTAAAGTTTATGAATATTTTTTATTTTTCTAATTTTTTTCATATATAACTTTATAATAAAGAAATGGACTTTGTGATGTCTCTGAAACTTAATGCCTGTGGTTTGGAGGATGAGGTCCTTAATGTTAAATGTATACAGTAGTCCCCCCTTATGCAAGAGGGATATGTTCCAAGACCCTCAGTGGATGCCTAAAACCGCGGATAGTACCAAACCCTATATATACTCTTTTTTCCTATACATATATACCTATGATAAAGTTTAATTTATAAATTAGGCACAGAAAGAGATTAACAACAATAATTAACAATAAAATGGAACAATTATAACAATATACTGTAATAAAAGTTACTGTAAATCTTAGCGACCTCAGCATACGATTTTTTTTCTTTCCTTATTAAGTCGAGAACTTTCACCTTTTCACTCAAAGGAAGCACTTTCTGGCTTCTCTTTGGCACATCTGGATTGCCAGGATCACTACTCTCCTGCTTTGGGGCCATGATCAAGTAAAGTAAGGGCTACCTGAACACAAGCACTGTGATACCACGACAGTTGATCTGATAACAAGGCAGCGAGGCAAGTGGTATACACAGTGTGGATGCGCTGCACAAAGGGATGAGCCACCTCCTGGGCGGGCTGGCAGGATGGGAGGAGGGAGCAGGACAGAGTGAGATTTCATCACACTTCTCAGAACAGCGCAAAATTTAAAACTTATGAATCGTTTATTTCTGGGATTTTTCATTTAATATTTTTGGACCCCTGGGTGACCCCAGGTAACTGAAAGCACGGAAAGTGAAGCCGTGGTTAAGAAGGGACTACTGTACTAGTTAACTCAGTGAATACAGTATTTGCTGTGCAAACATGAGGTTTCTAGACCCAGGCCTGCCACGTAACTTGCTGTGCAATCTTTTGAACAAAATTACTTCTCTTTCACCAGATGTCAGTTTCTAACTAGAATGAGAGTTTAGACTAGAAGACTTTGAATAGTCTATGATGCTCTTTAAAGCTGCTGTCTTGGCATCACTTTCTAGGTCTGTGCCTCTGAATTGATATCAACCAAGATGGTGTGGAGGAGGGGCTGGTGAGTATGGTATTGGTATTCCATTATCTGAGACCAAGGCCGAAGCCTTTAATCCCAACTGCCTCAAAAATGTCTAATGCTGATCCTAAGAGGAACAACACAAGATTCCACAACTGACAAGTCAAGCTATTAGTGAGTTGGAGGAACCCTTTCTTCTGTGAAGGGAGCATAATTCAACATTGCAATATTGTATTTGATTCTATAATAGCTCTTCACAGGCTCATTGTTAGAGTTGTTGCAAAGTGGGAATCTTCAGCATCCTGTTAACCCTGGACCAGCTGAGCATGACAGCTGCAGTGTCCTCACCCTCTGGCTAGATGATCCCAAACAGTGGAGCTTTGGGGACAGAGATGACAGGATGGATTTTGTTTACTGTGGCCTATCTTCAATGACCTGAGCAAGACAGCCTGTCATTTGGACTTGCTGTAGAGTGAAGAATGCTGGCTCTGGAGTGGGAACAACCTGGATTTCAGTACTCTGCCATTTGCCAGCATTCTAACCTTGGTCAGTGACTTAATCTTTCTGGAATTCCCTCTTTCCCCTCTGTAATATAGAAGTAATAGTAACAGGCACCTCAAAGGACTCCTATGAGGATCAAATGAGATGAGGCATGTGAAGTGTTGAAGCCTGGACCTGGACCATGGTAACGCTAAATAAGTTTAGCCATTAATATGTCTCTTTTAGGCCTATTTGATCTTACACTGGGTTACTATAATTTTTTTTTTTCCAATTTTAGGCCCCTGTTTCAAATAAATATCTCTTGCTTAAGTGGAATGGGTTAGCCTTCAATAAAGTTCTAAGTTAAGGTTGTTTACAAGAAAATTATATCTGTTTTTTTTTTAATGTAGTCTCTTTACATGCTTTTTAAGAAAATGAAAAAAGTATTTCATATACTAGTGCATTTTTTAAAGTTGTTAATAAAATTATAGAACAAAATAGCCTTTGAGATTGTTATCCAACAGGGATTGGCAAACATCTTCTGTAAAGGACCAGATAGGAAATATTTTAGGCTTTACAACCACATGGTCTCTATTGAACCACTCGGCTCTGCAGTTGTATCATAAGAGCAGTCCTAGACAAGAACACGAATAGGCTGTGCTTGTGTCCCGATAAAACTCTACCTATGGACATGGATGTCTGAATTTCATATAATTTTCATATTATTCTTGTTTCGATTTTTTTCCAACCATTTAAAAATGTAAAGACCATTCTTAGCTTTCAATCTATACAAACAGGTGGATGGCACCTTGGGCCCACAGTTCTGTCAACTGCCCACCCCACTATACAAGATTAAAGATGTGGAAAGATGTATGATGCATTCAGTGACTTATAAAATATGTCAGGAAACCATAATAGAAATTTAGTTTAAAACCATTTGCCATAAAGCAGGATTTTTAAAATCTTGAACGACATCTAAATGAGTTTAATTTTCTTAATATGAAAAATAACCTACATAAGAGATTCCGTGGTAATATTAAATAATAAAATTAAAAATCTTTAATAAATTTTATGAAGTATGGAGGAGTTTTTGAGTGAATGATTATTTTGCTTTTTCTAAGAAATGAATAATGAACAAAATTGCAGCTTATCAGTAGGTGAATGTTTTAAACATTCTAAATACTTAAAAAGTTAAAACACACATTCATACTTTTATTTCTGAAAGGTGAATTATTTCAAAATTATCAAATGTTACAATATTTTCTTAATATTTGTAGTACAAGAAAAAAGCTAAATGTAATTTACATATAAATACATACAGAAATATCCATAAAAATATTATAGCTGATAACTCCAATACTTAAAATATTTTACTAAAGCACTGTTGTACACAGTAGTTAAATGCTATCATATAGCCTTAAATTATTTTTCCTTCACCTACAAGTCATTTAAAGATAAAAAGTATTTAAATAAAACATAATGCCAAGCTGCTTTTAACAAACTCTTTGCATATTTCCTATCCAAAGCTTTTAAATGGTCATTTTCATACAGTTTTAATTTTAAAACATATCACATGAGGGGCTGGCCCTGTGGCTGAGTGGTTAAAGTTCCTTTCTCTCTGCTTCAGTGGCCCGGGTTCGCAGGTTCTGATCCAGGGCTCGGACCTACACCGCTCGTCAGCCATGCTGTGGAGGCAACCCACATACAAAAAATAGAGGAGGATTGGCACAGAGGTTAGCTCAGAGCTAATCTTCCTCAAGCAAAAAAAGAGGAGGATTGGCAATGGATGTTAGCTCAGGGTGAATCTTCCCCACCAAAAGAAAAAAACCAAACATATCACATGAGAGCTACATTCTTTTCATTGATGAATGTTTAGTAATACCAGAGAAACCACCTTCTCTGAAAAAAATCTTCTCAATAATATGGAATCTAAGGAAAATATAGATAAGATATAGCTGAAACCTGTCAAAGACATTAGAGTTTCCAGCAAAAATAAATTGAAACATAAAGGGAAAATACTAAAACCAACTTTAATGATTTCAGGACATCAAGATCATCATTTAAAAGCTCTGAATATTGGGTATAGAGAAAGCTGAGAAACACTTTTTTCTAATTAAAATGCATGATATAATCCCATAAAATATCCTTTGTAACAGACATCTACACCTAAAGAACCCCATATCTAGTCAAAGAATCATGCAGTTTCACTAAAACGTGAATTTGTACCTTTTTTATGATTGTTGGGTGATTTTTATAAAAAAAGCTGTTTCCTTAGGAAAAAAATTTCTGCCAATTGGAATATTTTCATTCTGGAAAAAAAGACTTTTTCCTCTGAAAATAATGAAGTTCAATCTCTGGTTATACGCACATTTACTGACATAGTCAAATGAAAACAAATTATTGTGCTTCTAGGAACTAAATTTTTTCCCTGGCATAGTCTGAGATAGCATCTGGGAACTGTCACCCATATGTCAAGATTCACAAGCAAGCGTCTGTGAACAGAACTGGACCTGCTGTATCGGTTCCACTACCACTAAATGCATCTGTCCAAAGGGATGGATAAGTGTTCTGCAGTCCTGCAACTTTCTAGCATCCTCTATTTCCACCCATATATTCACAAATGTTTGAGTTTATATTTAAACTCGATGTCATTTACTGGTGGTAAAATGCCCAAGCCTGCACGAGACTGGTCCAAAGAGGGACACTTCTCATGGCTCTCTACAAGCTCTAGTTCAAAATAGGAAAGCATCAGAATCAAAAACTGCTTGATTTCCTGGACAGCGAATAATCTTCCAGGACATATTGTAGCTCCTGAACCGAAGGGCATGTAGTAATACTTCATCTTGAGGCCATTACTACAGAAGGTGGTCTTCGTCTTCGCATTTTCATCGAGATAGCGATCATATTTAAAAGTCTACAATAAAAATACAGAGAAAACAAACTTATAAGCTAGTTTTAAAGGAATTTATGTCTTTCTTGACCTGGAAGCTCCAAAAAGTAATTTTCTCTTTTAATGCAATCTACTAGTAATTTAGCAAATACCCCACCTGAATCAGAAAGTGATAAGGGACAGGAGCTTAACGAGAACTGATGGGAATGGGAAAGCTTTCTGATACCTCCTATCCTGCCCAGGTGACTAGTTCCTCAATTACGCAGAACTAGAAAGAAGGGTTCAGATCAGAAACTAGAAGAGTCAGTCTATTAGCCTCTAATTTCCTGGATTTGGGAGCAGGAACATTTTAATGAAAAAGAAAAGCAACAGCTTTATTATCATGATTGCAAATATAATCTAGCAGAGATTATGTGACGACAAATATCAGGAATTAAAAATTCAAGTCATCATCCAGATTTTCCAAAATATAGTGAATATTTGACATAATGAAGGAGACAATCCCTGTAGCTTCAATGATCAAATCAATTCTGCAATGGTAAGTTTCCTTTTTATTGCAATCTGAGTGGACATCACCTGGATACTGAACTTTGATGAACAGTCACTTACCAAAGGCTCTGGGTAGATTTCTGGATCTAAATGCATTAATTGCGGATAAAGGGCTACGATGTCATCTTTGCGAATATTATAGGAACCGTCCGGGAGGTGCAAAGTGAAATCTTCTTTAGCAGTCCGGATGTTCAGGGAGGCACTAGAAAGCCTCAGAGCCTCCTTAATGATACTATCTATATATTTTACAAGGATGAAAAGAGACAAGGGAGAAAGAGAGGGAAGGAAGAACAAATCAAGTACTTAAAGGCCACATAACATAGAGAGTCTGAAATACTTCTAGCAGCCTATAATACAAAGCTGAACAGACTATGGGAAGCTGGCCAGATTAAAATTTCCCAAACTTTTTTCTCTTACCACTATGCTGTGATCAATGATTCAGTTGTATCTGAATGTATCTTATTAATCTGAGATAATAATAATAATCTTTTGATAAAGATATAATCTTCTTGGGGGCCGGCCCCATGGTGTAGCGGTTAAGCGTGTGCGCTCCGCTGCTGGCGGCCCAGGTTCAGATCTCGGGCGCACACCGAGGCACCACTTGTCAGGCCATGCTGTGGCGGAGTCCCATATAAAGTGGAGAAAAATAGGCACAGATGTTAGCCCAGGGCCAGTCTTCCTCAGCAAAAAAGAGGAGGATTGGCATGGATGTTAGCTCAGGGCTGATCTTCCTCACACACACATACACACAAAAAGATATAATCTTCTTGGTCATCAATGGGGAATAGACGTTCATAATATTATGGAAAAATAATCTTGTTTCTACATAACATTAGCCATCTAATACAAATGGAAAAAAATTAGTAAATCACTTTTATGTGAATTATTCAACGTTTATCACTTTTGAGATTTAATATTCTGATAACACTTTTCTATGGAAATATTTTTCCAGATGTTTAATGCAGCTTCAATTCAGTGTTTACAAGAACCCATTTTTATCAGTACACTATCTAATGTTGTATAATAATGCCCTGCTGCCTGGTAAAGATGTAAAGGGATAAAAATAACCACCCTGCTAACGGCTAAAATATACAGGTCTAATGAGAAGGTCCAGCCCAACCTTCCAGCCTCTATCCTTTTTAATTGTCGTGTTTTAGGCGTTCATCACATGATTGTGTGTAAATCATAGCATGTTAGCATTTTATTTTACAAATGAGAAAAGTAAGGCCTCCAAGAGTGAGGTGACATGTCCGAGTTCTCCCATGGTGGGGCAGAGCCCAACATGGAACCTGTCTTCTTGCCACCGCGTCCCTCCCGCTAAGACACACTGCCCCTAAAAGCATACAGTGGTTTGTTTCCTCTAGAGAAAAATAACAAAACCCAAAAGAAAACTCTTTCTTCTTAGAAAAATATAGTACTTCGTATTTCTATAAAATATGGAGAAGCAAAAATAAGAAAAATAAGATAACCTTCAATCCCATCACCCAACCCATGCAGCTAATTGTGGTTTTTTGATGGTACTTTTCCCCCCTTTATTTCATGAGAATGGATTATATGCTCCCATTAACCATAAAATTAGTGGTAAGAGTAATAACAAAGGAGACGGAGTAGACAGTGCAGAGAAGTGGTTGAGAGTGTAGGGTTTAGAGTCCCACACTAACACTGTAACCAGTTCCACCATTTGATCCCAGGCAGTAACTCAACCTCTAGCTGTCAGTTTCCTCACTTGTTATATAGAAATAGTAATAGACCCTAGTCATAGGGTCTATGTGAGGATCAAAGGAGACAACACATGCGAAATACTTAGCATAAGGCTTAGAACAAGTGCGTGCATATAGCTACTGACGATTACCGTTAGTAGGACAGTAAATGAAATATGGTAGAGCAAGCATACCTAGCACTGGCATGTCGTTCAGTTGCTTTTGATTCAAACAAATAGGACTGTCTTCAAAGCTGGCTTTTTGACCAGCATTCTCTAGTGTTTTATTCACTTCTTCAGTAGCTGCTTTCATTGCTTCAGGGCTTCTATTAAAAGTTAAGAGAAAGGAAAAGATGCACAGAAAATAATTTTTTTCTGTACCAAAAGATCTGCAAACAAATAGGCATTTCCCCCTTCTTTTAACTAGGCAGTCAAGATACCAGACAGGGTGAGAAAGAGACCTTCCCATTCATTCATTCATTCATTCATTTATTTATTTATTTATTTATTTATTTATTTTTTGTGAGGAAGACCAGTCCTGAGCTAACATCCAATGCCAGTCCTCCTCTTTTTGCTGAGGAAGATTGACCCTGGGCTAACATCCATGCCCATCTTCCTCTACTTTATATGGGACACCGCCACAGCATGGCTTGACAAGTGGTGCGTTGGTGCACACCGGGGATCCGAACCTGCAAACCCTGGGCCGCCAAAGTGGAGTGAGCACACCTAACCGCTACGCCACCGGGCGGCCCCCCCATTTATTTTTTACTTTATTTCATAATTGTGTTTAAGTCCTTGGATATTAGCCAGAATTATTGCCTTAAAAGGGCATTGTGGGGGAGGCCCGGTGGCATAGTCGTTAAGTTCACACGTTCCTCTTTGGTGGCCCGGGTTCGCAGGTTCAGATCCCAGGCATGGACCTAGACACGACTCATCAAGTCACGCTGTGGCAGGCATCCCACATATAAAGTAGAGGATGGGCACGGATGTTAGCCCGGGGCCAATCTTCCTCAGCAAAAAGAGGAGAATTGGCAACAGATATTAGCTCAGGGCTAAACTTCCTCATAAAAAAAAAAAAGAGGGGCATTGCTACATAGAAGTAAGACTTTGGCCAGACTTTTATAAATAAATGATTCTAATAAGGATTAAATGATAAATTACTCATATATATAGCAACTGAGAAAGAAAATTGCATCTTAGATAATAATTATAAAGTACTGGCTAAATTGCAAGTGGAAATTTAAATTTACTCAAAATTTATACCATGATTTCAGGTAGAATAACAGCTTTTCCATTTAAATTATAATTTACTGTTCTAGCATTTTGGCTTGTAAAGTGAATGCTACTTCATTTCAGCGTGTTGCAGTTTACTGGATCCTCAGTGCCATGGTATGAGATCTACATAGCATAATTGCAATAAATTGAGTCTCAGAAACGTTGGACTGATAAGTATTTATGTGACTATCATAAAATGGGTAGTATTACCTATGATATTAAATTGATGTTGTAACCTTACTATAAATATGTGAATTTATTCTGAACAGAGCTTTTTCAAGTAAAAACTTTGGAAGATATTTAACATTTGAGACAGATTAGTAATGGGTTTTTATATCTGAAATTGTTTTAATACATTTTATATATTAAAGACATAAAATTATCAGCCATCAATGGAAATTTGGCATTCCCAGTCCTACAGAATAGTAATTTTGTGTCTACATGATACTAAACATCCAACTTAACGGGAATAATTCAATAAACCATTTGAATGTCAAATTCCCAAAAAACCAACACTTTGGAAAGAAATTATGTTATGTAAAATATATGTTACATACAGTTTTTTGTTACATACAGTTTTAAAATGCAAAATCTAGCTAAATCTCATCAATAAGAACATATTATGATTGATCCATAGCTATCATAGTTGGTCAAATAAACAGTAAGGCAGAAATTACTAATTGAGTGAAAAAACAAACTTAATAAACAAATGAATAAGGCATAAGCACTGCCCCTTCTCTGTCCATAAGTCAGTAATCACTTAAATATATTTTTATGATGATGAAGACTGGATTCATGGACTTAAGTAGGCATCATGAGGAACAGCCTGGGGTTAAGACCAAAGGCCTGAATCGACCCTGCACCAGAACCTTACCTTCCCTGGGACGGGCTCTGCTCCTAGAAGATGCGTTTACCATCACAGTTGCTGACATTTTAGTGAGAATTCGATGAGCTGACACATGTTAAACACTTAAAAGGGTAAATGTTACATTCTTGATTGACAGCAAGAGACGGTACCACAGACCACGGGTCTTTTTTTTTCTGTTAAAATAGTTGAATTTCTGCTTTCTACTAAAATAAAGAAATAAATGGATAAGTTGCTAGTTACCTCATCATCTGAAATAGGCTCCAGAAAGTCGCGGGAATGGTGTTTGCCTGTGATGCCCAGAGGACAGCAAGGTGAATCTTGGCCTTCTCCATGTCGTCCAAGGTGGAGAGCGTGTAGTTCAGAAACCTGATCACTTCGGAGATGTGGTCTCTCTTTCCCAGGGTCTGGTGTCTCAAGTCCTGCTCCATTTTTTCCCGGGCGTGGTATGCGGTCTTGAACACGCGAATGGGGAGACCTGCTACCAGGGCTGGAAAGATTTTGTCAAATTGTTTGAAGTTGTCAAGGTTATTTAGAATGAGTGCTTTTTGTGCATCTTGCCCTGTAAGATCTCTACCAAAGAAAGTTAAATACCCAGCTTCAAACATCACTCGGTAGCAGAAGGAATACATCCCCTCTGTCACCCAGGCAGGCATCTGTGATTTAGGAACGACTGGAGGTCTTATGGCAAGGTGGAGGTTTTCCATCATGGCTTCTGTAAGGGCATTCAAGGCCTCGCCCTGCAGGGTTCTGATGAAAGTTTTGTTTATGTTTTCCGTGGTATTTCCATCACTTGGGTCAATGCTGCTGTGCCCAAATGCCTGACAGTGAATAAAATGTGTAAGAAAAGAAATTAAACCTGACCCAGTGCTAGCAAATGGATGACAAACAGATGAGATACTTTCATAATTCTCTACCTGTTAAAACAAAAAACGGAAAACAGTCTTCCTACATGCGATTTCACAGCACTTTACAAATAAATGGCCAGATCATACCCTTCCTTTAAGGCCATGTTTAAATCTCAGCTCTACAGTGAAACTTCCATCAACCACTCTAGTTGTCTATTTCTTATTTTTCTTATGCTGCTGCATTTATTTGCATGTTCATTTGGTACTAATGAATAATGTTTTTTAATCATCAGTTCTCTTTCATATTCTTTGTAGATGTATTTTAACCAGACTTTACTTAGAGACAGAGACCATGTCTAATATTTCTTTGCAGAAACTCAGTAAATATTGGTTGTTTTCTCTATAAGAATCTCTTAGATTACATCTAAGTGATGCCAAAATATCTGGACAATTGCTTAACAAAATTAAATAATACTGTGGCATGAGTGCGGAAAATTCATTGAACATTGTTCAATGTTAAGTTTTCACCACATGCACCCCAAGTGTTGCGTAGACATCGTTGGTATGAGTAAGTTTGTACCTATCTTACTCATACAGTGCCATCTGGCTCAGTAAAGTATTTAATTTTTATTTCACCCTCATTAGCTGGTTAAGAAATGGCAAATCTATACCTATTTTGATTTTTAAAATGATTAGTACCAAAAGGTGATGTCTAATTTGATTTCTTATGATTCTGAGAATCTCCACGTAAGGGTAACTCTCTTCAACATCTCTAAGTCTAAGTACATCAAAATGACTAAGTAGACTGACATATCAAAAAGCAGAAAACAAACAAACGGAATGCTGTATAAATGCAAAACTGGTTACCTTTGCAGAAGTAGTGAAGTGAAATTTTTTCCAATCAAGGTATTTTCCATGGCACAACACTTTGTGGTATGACAAGGGATTTGTGATGAAGTGTACATAGTTTCCCATTAGTTTGCAGGTAAAAACATGACCATGTTTCCTTTGATTTGCTCTGAGGAACTCAAGAGGATTGGCACCAAACTGCAGAGCACATCCCAGATATGGAATCAACCCATTCTCCAGAGGTGGTTCACCCATTTGTCTGTAAGATGCAAATATACGATAGAGATGGAAAATTACACAATGTTTTCTATTTACACCAGGTTTCAAAATTTCTACTACTGACTTCAAACTTCAAAACTCTACAGTTTGTAGATACTTTTTTTGTTGATGGGGCCCTGCTCTTTTACTAAAATAATGGGTTATATTAATCTAGTAACATGATATGTTGGTGAAAATTATTACTAAATCCACCCGTCCATCCATGAATACATTCCACAAACACTTACTGAATGTCCACTATATGCCAGTCACTTTTCCTGATGGTGAGGGTAAAAGGATCAACAAGGCCAATGAGATTCTTGCTCTCAGATTCTTGCTTTCAGAAATGAAACTACATTCTAGTGTTTATATTTTTTCTAAGCATCATTTGCCTAAGTATCTCAAAATGTTTTATTTGATTGTTTTCTTTAAAGATACAGAATATTGAATTACAGATAGGATTGCAGAATTGAAGTTTTCAAAATCTTCATAGTTTAAAGATATTATTTTGTAGTGATACTTGAAGAGAAGAAGAATCTCATTTGAGAAGTTAGCTTGTTATAAAATGAAATTAAGTAAGATAAGTATTGACAGGATCATCAATTGTAATTCAATGCTATTTTAAATGTTTTTATTACAGAATATAAACATTTATTTTCCAACATAAAACTATCCTGCTTGGTAGCATAACACAGCACAAAATAATTATTTTTATTTTCTTAGTTCAAAGATAAGCAGTTTGATTAAAACTAGAAACTATCATGCCTGAATTAAAATATCTTAAAGGACAAAAAAAACTTGTAAAAGATAGACAACACATAGCAATCTACATGGTTGAAGACGTGCTGTGGGTAGTTTATCTTTTGGAGATGGAGATGATAGAGAATATTTACATACCCACTCCCCTTCAAATACTCTGAGATCAGAAGTTAAATAAACTATGGCTAAGTGTCTGACTCTATTTGTATTTCCTGTATTCTTGAACTAATTATAAATAAATGACATATACAAATAAAAGTAATGCACATACTTAGCAGTTTCCCAATTCACTATGGTTGATTATCACTAATAAGAAAAAAGTAATAGAATGATCAATGCACACTCTGTGGTTTTGTCCATACTTAGGCTGAGTCTATACAATGCACAAGAACTAGCAGAAAAGGGAACATTTATTTAGTCAGAGCATCTATTTAATCCACATGATAAAAAGAAATTCTTTCCATTGAAGATCCCTGTTACCACTTATATCCCTATTAATCCAGACTTCTTTATATACACACCTAAACATACACAGATATCTTATAAAATTTCTGTCAATTATGTTTAACAAGTGTGCACATTTTTGCATAATCATTAGTATGTTAATACTAAAAGGGAAACACTGTCATCATATCTTTTGTTAGATATAATAAAAAAGATACCACTTTTAAAATTTAAATTACATTTTAAATATTTTAATTTAAAAAAAGAAGAAAATGCTGGTGTATATAAGTACAGAAAACCAAATTTATTGTATAACAATGAAAGTAAAAGAACATTAAATGAATGAACTAAAATGCAATTTAAAGATAAAACTTTCCTTACCTTCTCCTCATTCCAAGAATAAGCCATAAACAGCAGCCCACTGCTATAACAATCCCCCAGATCAAAGATATGGTCATCATTTTGCAAATCGAATGCAAAACTTCTAAGGAGGAGAATCTGCAATTAGAAAGGGAAGGATGTCATGGAACAGAGACGCCAGCTAGACTTCTTATATATGGTGAGATCCTACACTTGAGTGACCAAAGCAAACAATTAACCATTTGTTCATCCTATTAGAAAAAAAATTAACTGGCCTTGAACTAAGTCCACAGGTATTAGAAGAGTTTCCAAAACAATCAGAGACCTTCAATACTTGATAAGTTGAAGGTTTCTCAAACATATGTTGACTTAACATTCAGACCTGGGAGCGATAGCTAATATTACAAGTTTAGTATGTTTATAAAAAGAACAAATAAACCTGTTCTGGATGAACATTTCAAATAGAGATGTAAAATATAATAATTAAAGAAAAATAAGCATAAATTATCATCAAGCTAATGATTTGATCCTGTTGTCTTTTGAAGAAGAAATCAATTTAAATGATTTATAAGAGATACAGTGGTCAAGTTCAAAGGAAAGAGAACTGGGTGAAATGTTTCTGTTGCTTCGTGTTTCAGTGCTTTTACTAAATCATAGATATTTTACTATATATAGTAACACATTACTTACCTAACATCCTGAAGAAAGAAAAGTATCCCACACATAAATACATATTCCAATTAAATAGTTTATTTTAAGCATCAAAACTTTATCGACCATTTTTTCAAATTATAAAAATGTTTATTAATTTTTATAATTGTTAAAGTAATACAATTTCATTTCAAACAATTTAAGACTAACTGAAACATATCTTGGTAGAAAGTGAGAGTCAATTCATAATTTACCTCCCCTACTAGTCCCACTCAGAGGTAACAACTGCTAACTGTTTGGTATATATCTTTCCAAACTTTATTTCTATGCACAAATATATATTAATTGAGCACCTGTTGCGTGCTAAGAACTCTTCAAAGGTATTCTGGTTACAGGCATTAACAAGATAGACAGATTCCCTATCTAATGGAGACTCTATTTCAGTAGAGAGACAGATAATAACATATGTGTTATGAATAAAATAAAACAGGTGTAGAGAGCTCTTGGGGGATGAGAGCAACTTTAGATGTGGTGATCAGGGAAGGGTTCTCTCAGGAGGTGACATCTGAGATCTGAATGACAAGAAGGGATTAGCCAAGTGAAAATCAGAAAGAGAATTCCAGGAAGAGGGAGCACCAAATGCAAAGGTCCTCAGTCAAGGATGAACTTGGTAAATCTAAGAATCAGAGAGAAGGTAAGAGAGATCAGAGCAGAGTGAATGAGGGGAAACTTGGTTAAGATATAAAGACAAAAATGCAAGGTCATATATAGAGATGGTTTAGAGTAGCGAGAGAGAGATTTTGGAAGGCAACAGTTCAAAATACTATCTTCAGCTATGTAGATTGCTATGTGTTGTCAAATTGACAAGTGAGCTTAAGAGTCTGGAGCTATGGAGAAAAGCCAGGGTTGGGATAGAAACCTCAAGCCAAAAGACTTTATAAGATCACCTAGGGAGACAATTTTTGTTGATAGTGCCATCAAATTGATTCTGACTCCTAGTGACCCTGTGTACAGCAGGGCGGAACCCTGCCAGGTCTTTTTGTGTCATCCTCGCACCCTCTGCCACTATATCAGACAATGGTCCGCTGCTATTCATAGGGTTTTCATGGCCACTTTTTTTTTGGAAGTGGGTGGCCAGGTCCTTTTTCCTAGTCTGTCTTAGTCTGGAAGCTCCACTGAAACCTGTCCACCATGGGTGACCCTGCTGGTATTTAAAATACTGGTGGCATAGCTTTCAACATCACAGCAAAATGCAGCTGCCACAGTATGACAACCAACAGATGGGTAGTGTGGTTCCTGGAAATGATCCTGGGCTGTGGCAGTGAGAGCACCAAATCTTAACCACTAGACCACCAGGGCTGGCCAGGGAAACAATAAACCCTGAGGAAAGAAAAGAATCCAACACAAGGCCACAGAGCCTATTAATATCAAATCATTCCATTTATTGAGGTCAGTCAGAGAGCGGGAGGGTCAGGAGATGGATAAGGAAAAACCAGGAAGAATACCAAGAGAATATGGTGTCACAGGAAGCAAGAGGAGAATGCATTTGAAGAAAGATGACTGATTAACTATATTACATGCCACTTTGAGGTCAAGTAAGATGACAAAGAAATGGTCACTGGATTTGACAACATGGAGATAGTTGGTGAGTCACACATAAACACACACACAAAGATGGGGTTATATTCAAGACTTTTTTTTTTTTACATAGCATTTAAAAATGAACACCATACTGTGGACATTTCTTATGACAATACATATACGTGTATTTTATGTATGTATATGTATATATCTCTTCATTTTTAATGTGTGTATAGTCTTCCATTGACTAAATGTACTATAATTTAGTTAATTGATTCCCTACTGATGGACATTTGGTTTGGTTCCAGTTTTTAGCTAAAGAACCCATAGATACATTTCATGCTTTTTTGCCTCCTTAAACAGAGATCGCAAATCTTTGTTTTGCATGATTTATGATCATAATTATTAATATCAATCATTGTATGGAAGGACATAGATTTCTCAATTTGTTTAGGTTTTTTAGAGCTTGGTGCACATTAAATATATTTAGACTGATGTTCTTTTTATTTTTTTGAATTACTATTTCTGTTTTCTATATGACTTATTAAAAGTTAAACCTTTACAGGGGCTGTCACAGCAGGATTATGACAGTTAGAGAAAACACCAATTTAATATCCAAACAATTTTTAACCCTTTAGAGTCATCCCTCAAACAAACAAATTAAAAAACCCTAAACATGTAAAGGAAAGGATACATGGGACCCCTAACTATCTGTGCAACTTCCTGCAAAGCTATAATTTTGTCAAAATTAAAGATTTTCAAAATGATGAAGGGGAAATACATGCTCAACCCCAGGAAAACTTCCTTTAGTCTTGTCTTCTCCATCCCTTGTCAGAGCACCGCAAACTCCTTTCAAATATAGCCTGGTGAGTGTTTCTCTCACGTTCGTTTACCCTGATCTGTTCTTTTTACTCCCTCACTTACTATCCCTCTTCTATACAACGAAAGCCCAGGAAACACACACACCCGGTTTCCTTTAGTGGGCTGAGGAAAAGCAGAAACTTGAATATTCATATTCATATTTTTTTCTTGTTACATATGGTTTATGTCTTCCTTCTGAGGATGTCACTTCTTGCTGCTGTCACATGTTCACAAATGGCATCTATCACACCCCTAATATGCTGCTTCTAATCTGGTGAGTGGGAATTTGGATGCTTGTTACAGTTGCCAAAACTATTAATAGGCTGCAAGGAAATACTTAAAAGATTTCCTAATGAGTCAAGTGCATCAAGTTTCGTGCATGGATTTTATGACATCTCAGTATGTTTAGCATAGTGCTTAGAGTATCAGGTACTAAATAAATGCTAGCTGAGTTGGAAAGTCTTTTGCTTGCTTTTTAATTCTCTGCTGTGTTTCGAATTCTAAGTTTTCTCCCCCCCCACACACACACACATTGAGCACACACTACATGTGTCAGGCACTGCATCAACACTGGGGACGCAGCAGTAAACAAGGAAGCCGTGAGCCCTGCACCTGTGGAGTTCCCACTGCAGCAGGGTACGAGTAAGTGCCCAGATGCAGAAAGGAGTAGGTTTTAATTGCCATAAGACCTAGCATAATAAATGGAGCCTATCTAAACTCGCTAATCCCTCCATAGCCTGCCAATTTCCTCTCTATTTGTAGAGAGTAGTGTAAAGTACACTTACTCACGTGCAGAAGAAAGTTTCTGGGCCTCAGAGAACATAGGGCCCAAGTCCAATACCCCGTCCTCGTGAACAGATATATACAAGACAAGGAAACTCAAACTAGAGGAACAGAAAGTAAAAAGAACAACTAAAGCTATCAGCTTATGTAAACTGATGGCCCATACAAGTGGTTTCTACTAACAAATGCAGTAAACATAGTTTACATAGAACTCACACATCAGTGATTGCTTCAAATAAAATGAACTGTGAATGTGGTCATACAATCGAGTCTAACCATTTTTTTCCTGAATTTACAAGTCAAACCAACTCTCTACAGTGGAACGGAGATTGCCTCAATTAATGCAATGCTTTGCATTTTCCAGGAGCATCACAGAACTCCCAAGAATCAAGACTGCACATCAGGTTCCTAATTCAGGCCAAGTCAGTGCGAGACCAAAGAGGAATGGGCCGGTGAGGTCTTATTATGATTAATTGGGGGCTCTCATAATAAGCTCTTAGGAAATATGTCTATTCACATTTGAGCCATGTCTTCAATTTATTTTACGGAAAAAAAAAAAACCAGTTATGTTATGGCAGATACAGAATATTTAATTCTCAAATATAGTTTTGAATCTTAAACACACGCCGTGTAGGTTGTAAATGCCTAATGTATCTACATGCATTCCCTGAACAAATACAATTTCACAGGACTAGAGAATAAGAACAAGTTGATAAGTTTTATTTCAGAGAATCATAATAATTTTTACATTAGTTTTGACGTTTTCACTTTTTAAAAACTTTTGACATATGTTTTCCTACTCGAATGAAATAATGACCTCAGGTAGGGCAGGTATTTTAGCTATTTTAAAGATGAGGTAACGCAGACGTGAAGGTTTAGTGGCTAATGTCGCATAGCTTGAGATAGCTCAAATGGTCAATGGATTGGAGGCTGCTATTAAATCTAGGTTTGCATTTTGGCTCTGCCATTGACTAAGTATATACCTTTGAAAAAGATGTTATTCTCTCAAATCTTTATTTTCGTATCTGTAAAATGGGGATGATTATAGTGCATGACTCATAATATAGATGTTGAGATGAAACAAGACAGTGTGTGTAAATGTTTAGTTTAGGGCTTGGCACAATCTTTGCTCAAAAATGTTTGTTGTAATTATTAAATGGTAAATCCGGGATGCAACCCCAGATTTTCCTGAATTGAAGCTCAGCATTGCTCCTTTACAGCTCAGAACCTCACAAGAAGTTCAGTGGAACCAAAGGGCACCTGACTACAGATTTAGGAAAGGGTAAGTATACCACCTACATGTTCAAATATAAAGTTGATTCAACAAACATGTTCTGAACACCAAATATATGGAAGGCACTGTTATTTAATGAGAGAGAGAAGAATAGATCATTCAGCAAATATTTATTTCATGCATTTGATTCATTCATTCATATTAACTTAGCACCTACTTTGTGCAAGGCACTTTTTAGGTCCTGAAGATACAGAGGTAGACAAGACAGGTGAAGTCTTTGTCCTCAAGGGAACACAGCCAATCAACAGGAGGAC